CTTTAAAGTTTCGGAATAAAAACCCAAAAAGCCTTTTAACCTTTGATACTTGTAATTTAACGTATTCCGTTAGGCTAAATTCTGGAGTGTATTTTAGACCCAAGTCCGTTGTAAGCGGCAGACGAGGAATATGATTGTTGTGTAGGGAGATGGAAAGTTCGGATGAAATGCCTTTGGAGCATAGCACACCACATTTTTCAACGTTAAACTTCATTTCCCACGTGTTACACCACAATTGAACCCTATCAATATCATCCTGAATCCTATCAAATACACATGACACTTCATTTCTGAGTGAGTGGTATACTATTTTGATGTCATCAGCAAATAGGAAAGGTCTGCCATGTCTAATAACGTCGCAAATATCATTGAAATATAACAGGAATAACAGTGGACCTAGAACACTACCTTGTATGACTCCACTTGTTATCTGAACGGGGTTGGATGTGTGGGAACCTAACCTGACCATTTGCATCCGATTGCTTAGGAATGAACTGAGCCAGCTTAACAAAGAACCTTGGATCCCATAAGACTGGACTTTTGATATTAACAGTCGGTGGCTTACTGTGTCAAAAGCTTTACTAAGATCTAAGTATACAATAACTGTGATCATACTGGAATCTTTCAGTTGTGAGATGTGATCGAAAAATTGTAAGTGGCATGTAGTGCAAGAACGTGACTTCATGAAACCATGTTGATAAGGAGTGATAAGTTTCTCTTGAGAGAGGAAGTCAAAAATGGCACTTTTCACGATCTTTTCCAGAACCCTTGAAATAACAGGAGTTAGGTTAATGGGTCTGTAACTCATGACACTTGAACGGGAGCCTGACTTATACCTAGGGGTAATGTGCGTGGTTTTCCATGCATCTGGATATGTTCCAGTTGATAGAGAGATAGAGAACAATTTAAGAAAGAGAATAGGGATGTCTTCACCACCGTATTTTAAAAAAGTTGAGGGAATCATATCAGGACCAGGGTTGTTTGAACTTTTAAGGGACGTGATTGCTTTCTTAATATTATCCAAAGAAAAGCTGATAGTTTCTAAAGTTTTTTGTGAACGTACATGGAATAGAGGTTGTGGCGACGTGTTGTCATCATGGGCATATGACCGTGAGAAGTAGGAGTTTAGAAGCTCACAAATTATTTTAGGGTCAGTAGCAGTCTCACCATTTTCTAAGATGAATTGTATATCTGTTTTACGAGAGTTTAGCCTTTTGTGATAAAGCTTACAGATTGCAGTGTATTTAGAGCTATCTTTAAGGGCTGCACTTTCTTGTCTGAGTAGAACGTTGTCGTTATTTTCTTTCAATCTGAGATAAATGTTCTGTATATTTACAAGACACGAGAAGTCATTTTCTTTGTAGTAATGTCGGTGCAGCTTTCGCAGCTTAGCCTTTACTTTTATAGGAATGAAATTCTTTATGTTTTGTCTTGGGCTCTCTTTACATTTAGGAACAAGTTTATCAAAGCATATAGTTACATTCTGGTAAAAGGCTATTAGGATAGTGTCTAGGTTGCTACTAGAAAAGAAAAGGTCCCAGTCTAAGCTTCTAATGAAGGAGTGAAATACATCCCACCTAGCTTTTCCGAAGCACATGAATGTCTTGCGCAGGGTAAAGCATTTTGATGAGTGAAGCTTGGTATCGAGGGCGCAGATTATTGTGTTGTGGTCACTACCAGGAAATGGTTGGCTGATGTCAATGGTGGATAAGGCAATGTCTTTCAAGAAAACCAAGTCCAGTATATTGTGGTTTCGGGTGGGCCTTAGAATACTTTGTGTCCACCCACATAACTAGACAGCATCTAAGAATTTGCTGTAGCGGGGAGGAGCACTGATGGGCTCCCATGAAACTTCAGGCATGTTAAAATCCCCTCCGATCACTTTATAAGTAAAGTTTAATTTCGAAGTGTAATGAAAGGCTGCAGTTATTTCACTTAGCAGTTCACTGTCATGGTTGGGTGGGCGATAGGTGCAACCTAATAACAGAGTTTGCTGTTTATTTATGTAGAGTGTCACCCATAATGTATCGCATATATTAAGGTTAGGGTCATCGTAGTGCACAGCTCTGCAGTCAGATTTAACATAGATAATGCATCCTCCACCCCGCCCAACTGATCTGTTCTTCCTGAAAAATGAGTAGCCTTCACAGTGAAAGAAATCATCATTTATTTCACTTGTGCACCAAGCTTCAGTGATCAATAGTGCTGTAGGTTGGCTAATCCGTAGCAGGGATTGGATGTATGCCATCTTGTTTACAGCTGACCTGGCATTGATAAGAACTATGTTAGGATTAGCCGAGTCATATATTAGGATTTTAGCTATGTCTTGAAGTAGCTGGTGGTGAGATTCAATCATAGTGTCCTCAGACGACAATGAAATGTCTATGCCTGTAGATGCCCTAGGAAAGCTAGAAGTGCAGAGGGGGTGAATTAAATTTTCGTTTTCATGTAAGTTTGGGCGTAAAGAAGATTTGCGGTCAGAAGAAAAGGAGACAGAGGGTTGTTGAAGGAGAAGAAGGGAATTACCAGAGTCATGTAAGGTGAGCTCCAGGCAGTAATTAGACATTGCTGTATCAGCTGTCATATCTATATTGGGGGGCGAAACCTGTGGAGAGTGGTGAGCATTTGTAGTATGTTTGAGGTCATGTTGTGAACCTGTATAAAAAATGGTAATGTCGTTTCAGCAAAACTGTTGATCGGTGGGTAGTCAGCCCTGTTGGGTGTAGGCATGTAAATAGGTGGAGGTGGCCTACCAAGCATGCTCAACTTATTCGAATTGTTGCGAATTACGTCACCACTATTCGACTTCCTATAGTTAAGTGTATCAATGTTTTGGTTTGTATTGGTGCGAGGGTTTACTTTTTTGAACAGGTAGCTACGAGGTTCGGGTTCTGTTTTGCGGTTTTTGTACCTATTGGTTTTGTGGATATTTGTTTCTGGAGAGAGGTGTGGCATCGAGCTGTCAGCATGTGAATTAGTGTGTGACACTAGTCTCTTATTCTGCGTTGTCTTTGTAGACGAACTGGTAGCTGCATTCTTCAACTTCCTGGAATTAAGACTACTTGAATTGGTGAATACTGGGTGTGATGTACTGCAGTTTGTCACTGGGGTACAGGGATTGTTATCAGAGGAATCTAAATCTACGGTCGATTTCTTTCTTAGTGTTCGGCTATACACTGAACTATTTTTTGACCTTATATTTTCAGGCAAGTTCGTTTCCGAATACGGTGTGCTTTGTATAGAAAGATCCACACCCTTTTGCTCTGCCTCAACAGAAGTGTGGGTGCCCAGGGGTGTTGTAGAGGAGCTGGGATTTACAGTTTTAGAATAAGTCATTCTTTGGATCGGTGTCTTGTCACGAGCTAATTTAATTGTATGGTAACGTGTATTTTTCAGTAGTGTTTGCCTACTGTAAAAGATATCAGCATTAGAGGACGAGTCAAATTTCAACACAAGTGGGCAAGATTTATGAATCCAAGCCATTTGATGTGCCACCGTGTTACGTCCATTTGCTCGTGCGCCACTTCGAGCCAGTTAAGCAATCATCCCTATACTCCAATTTTGTCTCGAATTATATATCGTCATTTGGACGATCGATTATTGTGTTGTGGTTTACCTTTGGTCTAGGCGGAACGAATTCTATAGAAGTTGTGGATATTAGATCTTCCGTTAGTGTACTTCGTACTATCTGTTAACGTCAACACCTTCAGTCTCTCAAGATCTCTGAACATTAGAGGCATCTAGTATCACACAGAATGTCAAGAGAATGGTTATAATCATACATATGAAATGTAACAAATTATTCACCTAGACACAAAAAGGTTTCTTGAAAGGATTTATGGTGTCAGTAACAAGTGCAATAGTGATGTGTTTTTCATTCCCCTCATTTGTGATAAGAAGTAGGTGCTCAACAATGTCCTAGATAAAGGATAAGTTCTTAAGAGGAAATGAAACAGAATCTACCACTCTTTATTGTCTTAGCTTAACAAATGCATGCTAGGCCACTTTCAAGTAATAAAATTCTTTAGTGCTTTTTCATCCTTTGGGCCTATATAAAGTGGCGAGATTCAGCTTAATGCATCAAGACCACCGAACACCTGAGATGAATGAATGATACCACAAAGTGTGGCATTCTACTGTAATTATGTCTTTAGCTGCAACCTGAAATAGTTGAATCCCAGTAAATCGAACAATGATTAGGATGAGACAGTAACCCGAATTTCGTACTCAGCAGAAATATTTGTTGGGTGAATTTACAATAAACAGAGGCAAATAATATTTTTAAAATATAGTAATGTAAATTGTCACTACATCTACGCTTTGAGAGCTCTTATCCTGAATCGAAGCTACATTTAAGTGACAACTCCACTCTACAGATGTCCGGCTCCGAGAAACTGCCTGGTGTCACCTACTCGTGGCTAATAATATCTATGTGATATATGAATCCCGCTTATTGTCAATGCGAAAACCTGATATCACCCCTTAGGTTAAAACATTCTTCTGCATGAAGTCACAGTCCCTCCAGTGCTAAAGTTATGCACAGGCATTTATGGATATGGCGGGACTCCCTTTGAAAATATTAAGTGCAATTTGACGCCTCACCGACCACGTACCAATGAAGTCTTTCTTTCGAGAATAGGAGCGAAAATTCCTTGGATGAGCCTCTGTGAACGAGCCACCTTTTATTTTGTAGATTCAAAAAGTACTGCTATTGCCAGTCACCTAAATAAAATGACAGGTGAAAAAATTACTTCTGGCAGCAGCAGTGCACCAACCTTCTGCATCATTCAAAGCAGGTTTATCGAAGCTAAGGCAGGTGACTATTGTAGCAAACTAAGAAGATCAGGAACTATCACCACACTAGAAAGGAGCAAATTCGAAAAAGTCAGTCCATTTTATGCTGGCTCGTGAAGAGTATGTTGTTTATTGAATGTAGCATATACCAAATGCATTCAATTTTGGATTTTGCTGGTGGTTTCAAACTTTTCCAGCTGTTTTCGCGGCAAAACACTAAAAGTCATATTCGGCTGTAAATGAGGTAAAACAGTTAATAATAAGAATACAGTCATATATTTAAATAGCAATAGAAACAGTATAGACTTTAGACACCTTTTTAACAACTGAGAAACATTTATTGTCTCTCTATTTTTAGTAATGTCCCAGCTAGCATTGACTTTGGACGCACCGCAGAATGTTTAGGACAAAATTCAAGCCACTTATTGACGTTTTATAGTGCTCCCGGAGTCTTTTGTCACAACATTTCTGCAGTTCACTGGATGAAATTGCTAGCTGGTGTTGCTCAAGCATTGTGGTAAGGTCATCCAGGGTGGCTGCTAAAGTTTTACTTAGTCTGGAGTACAACATGTATATGATGAAGTTACATGGATTTATTTAAGCGATACGAACGTTTATCTCTTAATTTTCATATGTGATCCTGCAGAGATATCAATCGACTGAAAACGGGAATGGTGAGACTTTGATTAGTATTGAAGGAGGAGTCCAAAATGAACCATAGAAGTGAAAAATGAGGGAGCTTGTTTTTGAATACCCCTTCTGCCCAGATTTGCTAGATTTTCCTTTTTTAACAGATTTCTTCGCTGTTTTTCCATTTATATACCCATATCCGCTTAATTTCTTCATTTTGTCAAATTATTCCACCAGTTATACGCCCAATTTGTTTGTTTGCCAACAAATATGTTACACTTTTTGTAGACCCAGTCTTCAACGACAAAGATTCTCAGCTAGTATTGACTTTGTGAGCATTGTAGACACTTTGGGAGCGGACTAAAACAAGTATTCGGAGCAAATTTTGGGCTCAGTACAGACAATTTCGAAGATTTCTCAGGTCTCATTGATTTCTGCGTGACATTGAAATTTTGGAACTTCTACTTAAATAGTGTCCATAATACTGACATATAGTATATGCATTCTTCTGAAAACTGAAATCAATAATATTTCTGTTTTATGTAGAACTTCTAAAACTTCAAACACATTCGAGACACACTTTTATGTGCCTCATTTCTGCAATGCGCCCTAACGTTTTCGCCCCGAAATATCTGCAGAAGACCTGAAGACAGTACTAGCTGAGGGTAGTATGCTAGGAACTGCATATGCTCATCCATGTGACATATATCTCCATTTAGGTCCAACATCACTTCGAAAGTGCTCACTAGAGTGACCGATACAATTTGGTTTATCAAGGTACTCTGTACTTTGAAGAAATTACGTGAGAGTCTTAATTCCACTCATATAGTCTAACAACTTTCCAATGATGGCCTACTAGAGGTATCTTGGAAGGCAGATGGGCTATGAAGATTAATAATAAGGGCGATTATTAGTCCAAAATAGGCCCACTGCTAGATCGTGACAGTCAGAAGTGGTGGTGTGGTATTTTCATCATTTCACTTCTAACTAATCTAGTGCACAGTCTTTCTACTCCTTCCACGAATTGTTCTTCTATCCACATTTATGTGTCATAAACCTATGGGAAATATTTAAAATGACGTCTATCATCGTCTGAATAAGTTTACTTGAGCCTATCTACACCTAACCATTTGAAAGGACCGGCAAGGTGCGCATAGTTTTCGGAATGTAAGGTAGACGAAAAATATATCAAATTGGGTTGTGACTTTCAGTCAATTTGTTCAGTAAATTCAACGCAGGAGTCCTTAGGTTTCATGAATAGTTTAGAGGCTGAGAGTGTTGGTGTTCACAGATAGTACGAAGTATACTAATGCAAGATCTAATACCCGCAACTTCTATAGTATTCGGTCCGCGTAGACCAAAGGCAAAGCAAAACACAATAATTGATCGTCCAAATTACGAGACCAAATCGGAGTGCGAGATGATTGCTCAGCTGGCTAGGGGTCATGCATGAACGAACGAATGTGACATGACGGAGTACCAAATGGCGTGGATGCTTGGCAGGAAGCCTTCAGCTAGACAAGTTGACTTAAACTGTGAGGGTCAGCATCCAGTGTTCAGTAATGAGTGCTGTGGTCAATAACTTTGGGGAATTATTTACCGCTACAATAGTTTCCTGGATCACTCAATAATCATCATCTGTGTGCCTAATAACACAGGGCTTTTGTACACATTTTTATCTGCTGGGCGGTAATAAATAAATTTGTGATCTGTTTTTGACAACGAAATTATTTTCCTGTAATAATCATTTTAACATTTTAATAGTCTAACTGTTGTAATTACACGATACAGAATGTACCATTTTGATATTTTTCCATTAGGAATTCGACTTCAGAGTCGCCTTTTCCCATGATTTTGCTCACGATGAAATATACATCCTCAAAATACATACACATTTCAATTCGCAGATACTTTGCAGATTGTAGATAAGCCTTGCTGGTGAGTGCCAGTAAGCAAGAAACTTGGGTTCTGGGATTCCTGTCGATTGTCTCTGTCTATTTCAGAGTGCAGTGCGATGGCGAGTCTCTTAGCTTGGTGATCGCAGTGTAAATCTGACTGACAGAATTTAGTCCTCACCAAACCAAGGACTAAATGCATGATGGTGCTAAATAACTAGTGGCCAATCAAAGTTAATTGGTTCTACACAGTACCAAAGGCTTTGTTCACACATCTATGTATTCCTCTGACCATTTCAATAAATGTATATTTAAATAAGTGTAGGGAATCATATGCCATGTTTAGGTTTTTTTTCTTTATCACACTTTGCTAATCACTACAATTTTTTTCCTTGATTGGAGTTATGCCGCTGTATGACTGAGTTAACAGAATACTTGAAAAATTATTGAAATTGGTGAATTTGTGCTTACTTATTTTTCTCAATACATAAAATATGCATCTGGATGGCGTAGGAGAGAAATTCAGTTGTACGTTGGGCGAATACGTATAATTTAACTGTGCCACTATTATTAAGAAGTGTGATTCAAATGGCCTTAGCTATGCAGATAACTACTTAGAAATTCACAAAGCCTGGTCTGTGGAATTCTAGTGCCAGCGATAAAACAGTAAGAACATTCCGGTGATATTCTACTTGGCAAAATAATAATATTTACATAAACTTGATAATAACACGAATCTACCTTATTATTTCAAAATTCCCATCTTTTCAGGAGCAAATCAGAATCTTATACAGATTGTAGTAAAATTATGGTGTGCAACTGAGAAATATTTCAGTGGTTTCCTGTGATGCCACTTCTGTTGTGGCCTACAATGTGCAGAAGTGACACTATTTCCGCGGTTTTAACTGGTATTTCATAGTTATACTATACAATCAATATTAAGGACTTCAAACAGTAATTTACATTGATTTTAAAGGAATTTTTCTTTAAAATTAATAAGAGTTCGTCAAGTTTTCAAAGTATAAACATGAAATTTCCCCACAAATTGTTTGCCTGCACAACTTTTCTCTTAAAGAATACAGTTTAGGCAACTAAATAAACGTATGTGGTTTCACATAGGGTGTTTTTATTTAAAAGTTCTCTTTTTAACTGCTTCGTATGTATTATATTTAGTTTACAAACCAAACATTCCTACACAGTGAACTTTTCTGGTTCACAGTATATTGAGTGATCATATAATTTTTCATATTGTATATTTGTTGAACTTTATTCTACGCATTATATGGTAATCTAACGTTTGAACCGTATTAAGGTGCATTTAAGTATTACTGGTTTTATTGAAGAGTTTAGTACAGATACGCTGGGAAAAATCACCATACGCCATGTTATTGTTCACTTGAATTTTTTTGAGTTAAAAGATAAAAGCTGGCTCTTACATGGGAGAAAATCGATTGCATCAGAATTGGTTTTCACTTAAAATCTAGTGGAATTTTCAAGTGTATGTCATTTCCATTGTAGATGAACCGCTTAGACAAGACTTCAGATTTTAATGAATTCCTGGCTAACATGACACTGATGGTGGCGAAAACATCAGTTGCAATTTACCTTGTAAAACAGACACCATCAAATGTATCCTGTTATGACTTTGTGAAATTTCTTCAACATCAATACAAAAAAAGAGAACAACAAAAAGAGGCTATTTTAAATTTTTGTTTGTTACACGAAAACAAACAGTTGAATCAAAATTCATATGACAACGATATAAGTATTGATCAAATTACAGGTAAGATTATTGATCTTAAAAATATAAATCTGAATTAACTTCCTCATAGAGATAAGCAACTACATGATATACAATTCAAGTCAGTTAAAGTTGACAAAATTTAATTTGCAAAACACTTTACTACTTACAAATAATCAAGTAGTACATCAGTTAAAATACAGTTTACGGGAGATATTGGTTTCATCTGCAAATATCCTTATTCAAGCTTTTAAGAAAAGTAGTAAAAAAGGTTTAATCTCTGTAAAGAAGATGAACTTTTTTATTGATCTGAAGGAAGATGTACAAACCATATTTAACTTGTGGGTAAACAAGACAATGGAACATCTGAAAGAAAATTCCTATGATTTTGTTCAGTGTTTTACAATTTTGAAGTATTTTATGATACCAGACATAGCTCGTTCAGAAGCAGATAATAACCTTTGGTATTCAACAACTCTTGAACTGGCCTTGATTCTTTCCAGCATACTTTCATCTCACTTAAATACAAAGTATCAGTCTGGTATTGTGCAGTTTATTACCGGATTTATAAATGATGCCTTAGAAATCTTTAATGAGAATGTTAAGACGCTAATTTTACAAAGGGGAAAAATTCTGCTTTTGCGTACCAGTGGGTGTGCACAACTGGTATGGCTTCTAGTAAATTTACTGAAATATTTTGATGACGAAATGTTCAATAAAACACAAGCACTGAAATGGATTCAAATTCTTGACAAACTTTTTGAAATTCAACAACCTAGTGTAGGTTGGATGATGAAGGCCCCAACAGCTCAACTTACTGGACTGATGTTTATAACATTTATTTTGAAAAATAAAATAATCAAACTTACATTTAAATTAGAGTGAGATGATGAAGCAATTTGAATATTGTTTATTACACAGTTTCTAGTATCATGAAATAAATTTCTATTTTAGAAAACTTTCACTTTTTTTAACATCCCATTTCCTCACTTAATATATATGAATATGTATAAGACAAATTAACTTTGGATTTCCATAAATAGCTTTTTATTATTCAGTGAAGAAAACTATCGAGTTTTAGTCATAGAAAGAAGAGATTATACTTGTGTTAAAAAATAGTTTAATGTAGCAGTTTCGCAAATACAATTTTATTTCTGATGAACCTTAATAATAATGCTATACAGTCCCACCGACAATAGGGAACCAGCTCAGAAGTGCTGATATTATTACTCTGCTTGCATATGCATTATTTTAAGTTCTAAAAAGGATAGTGTAAATACCTGGACCTTAGGAAGCATATAATGCCATATATAAATATATGAATGAGAGTGAAAAGTGTTTTCGTTACATTTCTGGTTAAATTTGGAGCAATTTGAAGCAATACCTACTCTGATAAATAACTGCTCATCTAAATTGGTGAAAGGAATTTACCTCAATCCAAGTATAAAACCAGGTGATATTGAATCATGATGGCTTTCCATGCTTTATAACATTTCAAAAACATGGAAGTAGTAAAAGAGACATTTTTAAGCAAAATTAGAAATATCGGTGAATGAAAGCCTAATAAATGAACACCATTTAGACTTTAAGAATACTCAAGTGATCAAAAAATTAATCTGGGCGAGTTAAGATAGGTTAACTTCTAAATGAGAAGGGTAATCATCATTTCAAGGCATTAACGAATATAAGTGCCAGTTCATTGAATAGGAAGTAGACACAGAATTGTTTATCTATCTATCTACAGTTGGATACCCCTATACACCAAACATAACCTGATCCGTTCGCTCAGCTACAGAGTTCGCAGAATTCACACCCCAGATACCATAGAAGATGAACTGGATAATCTCAAGAGAATCATCGTCGACAATTGTTATCCAGAACGATTTACTGAAAAATCCATAAATCTTAGACCGCAAACGCCGCCCACGGTTAGCGTCCTGAAAAAACTCCTCTATATGACCTTCAATTCAATAGAGATTCATCTGTGGAAACATTGGAAAACTGACTGTCGCGTTCACTTAAGAAAACCTTCTTCACAGCTGAACTACGATTAACCTTCTCCACGAAACTTATTCGTATGAATGTGAAGGATAACCTACCACTGCTAGCCTCATCAATGTTTATCTACCAATTCAACTGCTCGTGTGGAGCCAGGTATGTCGGCCGTACCCAGAGTTCGCTATCCAAACGTATCACCGAACACTTACCAACATGGTTTTACAATGGAGAAAAACGATTCCCCCGCAACTCTATCTTAGAGAATCTGATAGACTCCAGACTCAAAGCTACATCCCAAACAAACTTCAAAGTCGTCTACAGAATACGAAGCAGTCTTCCTAAAAGTGTACTAATCAAACTCCTCTAAACAGCAGAAGCAATGGCGATTCACTTGCTAAGCCCTGAAATCTGCATACAGAAGTTCATTGAATCACTACACTTGCAATGGACGCAATCTGTCTTAATACCCCACTGGTAAATTTTATTTCATTCTGTCTCTTCATTAGTATTATTTTGTCTTCTCAGTTGTAATGTTTTACATTTTCAACTTTCCTGTTCTCTACCCCACCCGATTTAAATTCTAAACTTCATTACCATTGTTACTGACTTGACCAACGCTCAATTTCTAGTCATTTATGTAACGTCATCCAATTTATTTGCTCAACTTTAGTCTTAATTTAAATGGCATTATTCTCTACCCCACCTCTACTTAGTCTCTTCCTGTAATTACCTCTGTTCCTATCCTGACCTAAGTTGAAACATTTTAGTCAATTCTATTACGTCATCTAACTTACTAACTCAATCTTGCTTTAACTGCTGTCTAATTAACCTTGTTTCTATATTAGATCATTCTTGTATTACCTGATTAATTATCTAAACTTGACAAACCTCGTGTACACACACACACACAAAAATAACTATGTATAAATGCGGCGAAAATAGTCTCTTCGCTGAACGTCTTCTCTTTCTCATATGACAGAATTGTTAGCGTAATACATTTTTAGAGGAGAGATCACTCTTTTAATCAAAATGAAAAGTACAGTATTATCTAAAGTGCTTAAGAAATAAATATTATACATACATATATATAATAATGCACTATCCTTACTTCCATATTTACCCAGTCCTACTTATATTATTACTTTTTACTGACTCATTTTGTTTCCTTAATAGAACACATTTGCTTTTTACTTTGGTGATAACAAAACATAATAATGAAAATGTGTGATTTATTGAAAAAGAAAGAAAAGTTTATGACAGTAGAAAAGTCTGTTGTAGCGTGTAGTCAAATATCAACGAATAATTTCGTTTAAAAAATCATTCTATGCGAGGTTGTAACATCATCTGTCCCACGTATTTGGGATTTTGAGTCAACATTTTCTGAAATCTCATTAGGCGATCTGTGAACTATCTAAAAAGTAAATAATACATAGAAGTTATGAGAAAACTTCTATTGTAATCGACATAAACTGAATGCTGAAGATAAACAAAAACCGTAAAAAAAGTGAGTATTACAGTCTTTGTAATTTCAATATACATGCATTCATATGAACAAGTAGAACAAAAACAATGACTATAAAGGCTAGTTTTCAGTACGTAGATTTGATTTATCCACACCAATTCTGGTTAACACCGTTGAGTGCAATCTGATAAAGCATAATAAATAAATAAGAGTTAGGCAAATCACTGTAAATAAATCTGAAAGTCGCGCTTAACGTAATGAATCAATAGAGAATGCATGTAGTAATCTTCATATTCTTGTTATTTGTACATTTTCTCTTCATAACGAAAAGGAATCAAAGATTAGAAGACAAATTTGTCTAAACTAGATAACTGTGTAGTAAAAGTGACAATAGTTACTTCTCACAGAGTGGGTAGAATTAGGCGAATGGTCTTCATGTTGCAAAATCAGTATAACTGATTGAAGAATAAGCAGCATAGCTCTATCGTATCTTTTTAAGCATTGTGATAATTTTTAGAAAGTAACATCACTATGAAACTAAAATATCTGGGAAGATAGATTTTAGAGACTATCAGTGCCTTGCTTTGTGTTCCAAAAATATTTTTAGACATTCCCTTCTACTGCAACGAACACGGATATTGTTCAGTTATTAGTAGAAAGCTTTAACATATCACATTTACTCGTTGAATAAGGTATTTTGCCAAGTCTAATTTGTGTTGTAAGAAAACAAAGAAAGTGAGTTTTTTAACCACCTGGCTTCAGCTATTTATATAAACTCATTATTAAGCTAGAACAGCGGTTAGGACTGTTGCCGACCATGCACATGGTCCGGGGTTGGATCCACTGCCGACGCAAGCCTGATATCAATGGTCGGCCTGCAAAATTTGGGCTACCGATATCACATGCTGAAAATTCCATACTTGTACCAAAAATACAGTGTGAAATCAAGCCATAATCAAAATAAATTTTAAAAATAATTAATACCATCGGGAGATTGGAAAAAAGTAGCTAAATCAAACGATGGATTAAAAGCTTCTATTGTGATTTAAAAAAATGAAGCTGCTAATAATGAATATGTGCGTCAGTGACACAGAGGTAGATTGCTCGCGGACCACGCAGGTGGTCCGAAGTTCGATCTCCAGCCGACACACTCCTTTACCTCGCTAAGCCAGTAACAAGACTGGTATAGAGGGAAGGTTGGGTATGAGGCTAGCAACCCCATCCTGTAAAAATAGTAAACACTGTTTCAGAAACTTCAAGCCTCTAGCTTGAAGCCCTATAGTTCACTGGGAACGTAAAGGAATGAAAAAACAATGAATATGTATGCATGATAAACTGTAGGTAAGAATTATCCCGATTTACCTTGGGCATCTGTAAAGCATAATTACTGAATTCATACGCCCATGTAGTAAAGAAGAGTATATTGAAAAGTCCCGCAAACCACTCAGCACCTGTGCTGCATAAATAATACGAATGTCCCTGAAGGAAGAAAGTGACAACATACAAAATTTTATAGTTTAAAATGTTAACTATGAAGAGTCGACGAACAGAATATACAGATGACAAAAATTCATTATACACTTTTTGATGGAAGTCAGCATGAAGTTGACAAATTTTAGAGTGATTTAAAGTTATTAACTCAAGAAATTTCAGACGAATAGTGGTATTCATGCAAACAAATAAGACAACCAAATTAGTGATTCTAGGACCTTTAGATGCAGATATGGTCAGATCTGAAATCGATACATAATCTAGTCACATACTAATAACTATGGTGGTAAAGTAATAGTAATATAACATTTCGCAAACTGGTGACCGATTTACAGGGATTCGACTGATTTCAAATTAGATTTCGTTACGAATCAGTAAACGTTTAGCGTGTGCTTTAAATAGCTGTAATCATATGAAGCTTTTAGGGTTAAGTCTTCGAAAAAGTTGTTATCAAATTGTGTATAACCAAAGAAGCTGCTAAGATGAAACGTGAGACAAAGGTATGCCAGGTAATACTTATATGTGGATTTCCTTAAGTAACAACATATCTAAGATTTTGCCAACCATAGTCCGGTGAAGACTGAGTAAGACTGAAGAAAAACTAAGTAAGCGTCAGACCTGAATGTGGGTTTAGTGATCATATATTCGCCTTTTAATAAATGCTGGAACATATTCACAATTATGGGTTTCCAAAAATTCCTGTCTTTTCCAACCTGATAGTGACAATTGACTTGGTTGCTCACGAAATGTTTTGAAATGTCTAGCTATGAAAAGAGTGACAAGAACGTATACCCTACTAATAAAGGTGATCGACCAAATATTATTTAAAAGACGGAGATTATCTGAAAAATGTGAAGTATTTGCGCTATACATTTCGAACAATCTGATCACACATTTACTTGTCAAGTCAATATATATGGAAAAGTTAAATTAAACAAAGTAACAAAAAAAGAATTAAGAATAATTAACACAAACGTTTGGTAATCCAATCCAATAAGGATTACCAAGGTAGGTTAAGGGCAATAACAAACAGTTTTTGAATACACAAGGGGGGCTTAAGTTTATGAATGGCTAAAGCCTCAGCGTATTTCAGTAAACGTCCTTGTCCGTTTTTAAAGATGACCTTAAAGGCTGAGTTAACATCAACCTTATGGTTCATCTCGATTAGATGTTTAGCTATAGACGAAGTTGGTAGTCTGACACCTGCATCTACTGGCTTGTCACAATTCATCTGTTTTTCTAACCATTTTGGGATATGCAACGCGCGATTACTCCTCCCTATGTATGTATGTCCACACACACACGAAAATTCGTAAATTGTGTGTGATGTGATATAATCACTTGTGCACTTTTGAGGTTTCCAGTAAAGCATATTTTTAGCTTTTTCCACAATTACAAGCTAGGCTGCATAGTAGGTTCTACGGATGACCGAATTCAACCTTTGTCTCAAAATCCTACTGTTTATTTCCCCGTTCTATGGTAATTTGATGAAAACCTTCTTCTTAGGGACGGTATGGATTGTAGGTTTAGAGGCTAGTTGACTTCTACACCTGTTTAAAAATTTCAAAGGATATCCGTTTTTAACAAGAGTATCCATCAATATTTCGTTTTCTTTGTCTATAACATCAGCCGTGCAAATACGTTGAATCCTCTTAAATAGACACTTCACCAAGCTTCTCTTATACTGTAATGGACAAAAGCTGTGAAAATTAAGGTATTGCCCTGTCCAAGTGAGCTTTCTGTAGATAGACCGTCTTATTGAGCCATCTTCTCTTCGACTCAGAAGTATATCTAAAAATGCGAGCTGGTTGCGACTTTCTTCCTCGCATGTAAGACTAATATGATTCTGTACAGAGTTAAGTCTGTCTAACAGACGACTCGCATCTTCATGATCGTTGCATATCAAAATGATATCGTCTACATACCTCTTATGGAAAGGGAATTTAGAAATTAAATCAAAGGATAAGTTTTCAACATAAGACATGTAAACGTCCGCTAACAAAGGTCCTAATGGACTCTCCATAGCAACGCCATCCACTTGTCGAAAATGTTCACCTTCAAACGTGAAATGGACGTTGTCAGTACATAATAGTAATATATCTTTCAAATAAGTTAAAGGAAAAGGAAATGAAAAACAACTAGAAGATATATAGTCACAAAGTAGTCACTTTTCCATATATATTGACTTGACAAGTAAATGTGTGATCAGATTGTTCGAAATGTATAGTGCAAATATATCACATTTTTCAGATAATCTCCATCTTCTAATAGTGCTATCAAAATTTATAAAAGGGACTAACTGTTTTAAATATAGGGCCAGGCAACAGATTATTTATTGAGAAAATCAAGAGGTATTTATAGATTTTTATGTACATTATTATTCGTTAGCAGAGAAACAGTGTCTTCTGATTGGTCGTTTTCTCACTGTAAGTTATTCTGTCATCTCTCTGTGTCGGTTTCTGTGATGGTCAGACCATATATCTGCGATTCGTATCCGCCCACTCAAAGTTTGATGTGATTGTTTGTTCAGTTAGTCTTTGTTCTTGTTTTTTCTCATGACCAAGATATTGGACGTAAATATTGACGTAAATTGCTTTCTACCAATTTTGACTAGCACACAGCTCTCACCACAAGTGTATACGGGTGATACAAAACAATTATTTCACTAAACATTTCATTTACACATAAATGTACTCACAGCATAGGTTTATTTTAGTGAAAATAATACTTACACCTTGTTTTGGATGACGATACGTTAGGGATTCTTCTTGAGATCCTTTGAAATGAATTCGAGAGAATAAATGGCATACTGTGACTGAAATGAAAAGTTTGAATAAAAAAATTGAAGCTTTAGAGGCTGATGGTATTGACGTCCACGGATAGTGCGAAGTATACTAATGCAAGATCTAATACCCACAATTTCTATAGTATTCGTTCCATGTAGACCAAAGGCAAAGCAAAACACAATAGTTGATCGCCCAAATTACGAGGTATATTTCGAGACCAAATCGGAGTGCGAGATGATTGCTTAGCTGGCTAAGGATCGTGCACGAACGAACGAACGTGACATGAAGGAGTACCAAATGACGTGGATGCTTGACTGGAAGCCTTCAGCTAAACAAGTTGGCTTAAGCAGTGAGGGTCAGCATCCAATGTTCAGTGATGAGTGCTGTGGTCAGTAGTTTTGGGGAATTATTTACCGCTACAAAGCCTTCAACACTGCAAAGTCGTTAAGACACGTTTTAGCATAATTACCGAAAATAGATCACATAGTGTTTATAGGAATTTCGTGTTTATTTAAAATGGAATTAATAAGTGCCTATATCTTGTGTACAAATGATAAAAACTGGTGTGTAGCCTACAGTCTAACAACTTTGGTAAAAGTGATAAACAGTCGAAAGATTAGAAGTAAATAAAATGGATCGGAAATATGGAAAGCATAAAATGAATAGAGGAAAGTTCATAACAAAAGTAGCAGAAAACAAAATACTAATAGTTTTCCTCATATAATATAGGACTCTTAATGCATGGTGGTCAATATTTCACCAATAAGTAATTCTGCGCGAGTTTCTTCTCTGTTCCTCTCCTTAAATGTAACTTTCCACTGATAATTCAGCCTTCATAAACTCCATATGAATATGAAGTCGACACAATTATGCTGAAATCGCAATACCCCGAAGACGCTTTGGTACTAAGACGTAACTATCGTGGGAACAAGAAGTTCAGAAAAGAAAATATCTCTTTGTTATTCCATTGTCAACAGCTATACAATCACAGTTTTTCAAGTTTTTAGTTTCACAATACTGAATAGTCAAATTTTTTCAATTGATTGGATTTTGAAAAAACATAAGGTTGAGTAGAGAATATAATTTTTAAGCATAATGTCACAAAAACCATTCCATGAATATTTATTCATTATTACATCATCTATGCCCTATCTATGCAGCATTGTGCTTCGAATTGTGTTAAATCGAAATGATGCAATTCTCTACAAAGTCCATTCTTGATTTATCAGCCATTCATATAATCAGATATTAATACTTCTACTTTTTTACATGATATAAGTATAAACTAACATTTAAATTATTCACATGATGCACTATAAAATTAAAATGAAGTAAATTTAATATATTCTGTTTAATAAAATGCTTATTTTTAACAAAAGGAAGGATTTAAACTCAGAGACAATCTCTGCAGGCTAAAGGATGCGGTGGACCCAATTAAAATAGGTAATATAATTTACAAGACACCTTGCAATCACTGTGAGTTAAGTCAACTGCATAGGTCTGACTAGTGGATCGGGAGTAGTCAGATTATCAAAACATAAGAATTTAGCTAAGGTTAGAATGATTGATCCCACGAAGCTAAATAATATGGAGAGTAACTCAGCAATATCGTTGCTTGCGTTAACACACAACCACAAAAATCGGGTGAGACAGAGTTAAAATTCTAAAAAGTAGTACAGGTGGGTGAAGAGAGAGACTGATTACTGAATCCTGGTTCGTTGAGTCTACACCCAACACATGCAACAGAAATGACTCAATGCAAATACCAGATATATGGAAGATATTATTACCGCCAGTCAAATCAGAAAAGGATAATACATTATCTCAGAATTCTATTTCAATTCAAGCACATCACAATATTCTAACAAGTTACTTATTAGGACTATAAAAGCACCCGTCATTTTTCCCATCTGATTGTAATTGATCAATAACACTCATATTATTATTTCTGAATGTACATTATCCCATATTGATTTTTATTCAAATATCTATCAGAATGGAGTTATAGTCTACTATAGTGCCCAAGTTTTATCCTTATATCAATAATGTATACAAAGTGTTCACCACACTCAAACAAAATATAGTTGTTCAGCTTTAAATGTTCATGCCAGTCTGTTGATCAGGAATACAGTGTGATCATTAAACCACTTAAAAGCAAGTCCTCTTTGAATTAGGTCTTATTTGTGCTTCTGTTAGTTAGTAACAAGATGTCCCAAACGCCTGGATGGAATCCACATTTTTCTTTCAGACAAGAACTTACAAGTTGAATCACGAGAAAAAATATATATAACTGTGTGTAGCACAGCGGTGTCATTTAGTCTAGTGACTATAATGAAAATCTGACTGGCATATGTCGACCGACATTGACCGCGCGTCGATCGAGAGGTGATTTGGAAACTACTTCGCTACTACGGGGTGCCACCGACAATAATACATCTCATCCAACAGCTATACGACAATGCTGCATGCCAAGTAATCCACAATGAGAAACTTACGGAACCCTTCGAAGTGAGGACAGGAGTAAGACAAGGCTGCCTACTATCACCAATGATTTTCTTGATTGCAGTAGATTGGATAATGCGACAGACAGCGGGCAATGAGGAAACAGGCATAAAATGGACTCACACAAAGAACTTGGAGGATCTGAACTTCGCCGATGATATATGTCTGATTTCCCACAAACTGGAAGATATGCAAGCGAAAAGCAACAAGTTGGTAGAAGAAGTATCAAAGATAGGACTCCAGGTGAACATAGAGGAAACAAAGGTGATGAAGATTACTGGGCAACACCACCAACAGCAACAATGACAACCGACAACAATCAGCATAAATGGGAGGAACCTGAAAGAAACAACCTCCTTTACCTACCTGGGAAGCATCGTTTCAACTACAGGCTGACCGAACTGACGAGGATATCAAAGCAAGAATCGGAAAAGCAAGACAAGCTTTCACTAATCTCAAGTCTGTGTGAATGTCAACAGCACTCAGCATCAAAAATAAGATCCGGATTTTCAACTCCAATGTGAAGTCAGTCAGTGCTACTATACGGATCAGAGACGTGCGCTGCGCGTCATAAAGAGCATCTCAAACAAACTACAGACCTTCATTAACAGTTGTCTTCGCTCAATTCTCCAGATCAGATGGCCGACCAGAAAAGATCAGCAACAGGGATCTCTGGCAATGAGCGAACCAACAGAGCAGGAACCGATTGTGAAACAAATAAGCAGGAAGAAATGGAGATGGATTGGCCATACTCTGAGGAAACAAGTCATCAAGTGACATCACTAGACAAGCCATTGCTCGAGTGGAACCCGAAAGGGAAGCGGCGAGTTGGTCGTCAGTGCGAGGGTGACTTGGAGGAGGTCATGTGAAGAGGAGATGAAAACGTGTGGGCAGACTTGGAGCCAGGTGAAGACTCTAGCAGAGAACAGAACGCAATGGAGACGCACGGCTGAAGCCCTATGTTCCTGTAGGAATTAAAGGATACAATAATAATAATAATCTCAAGATTGTTTCATACAGAGAGCTGGCAGATATCTCTGAAATAGTGTTATACAGTAATATTTACTGATGACCATGTTTCGAGCACAAACTATTGCCACTCATAATCATATCAAGTTACTCATACAACTTTTTCCCTTCATTTATATACATGTGTGAAATTGATGATTAGACATTAGAATAAAAATCATTATGGGATAATGTACACTCAGAAATGATAATATGAGTGTTATTGATCAATTACAATCAGATTGGAAATAAGACGAGTGTTTTTATAGTCATTAATAAGTAACTTGTTAAAATGTTGTAATGTGCTTGAATTGATATAGAATTCTGAGATTATTTATTATCCTTTTCTGATTTGACTGGCGGTAATAATATCTTCCATACCTCTGGTATTTGAATTGATTCACTTCTATTGCATGTGTTGGGTGTAGACTCAAAGAACCAGGATTCAGTAATGAATCTCTCTCTCCACCTACACAGATTACTTCTTAGAATCTTTAGGAAACTAATTTACCTATAGGCTTTTGGTGTTGCAGATGTATGTACCTGAAGATAAGTATCATGGAAAATAACTTTTATTTTTGTTGGCGTAATCAGAATATGCTGCTGATTTCATACAAGCAGAATAGAAAACACTCATTAATTAGACAAAAATTAAGCAACTTACAGAGTACTGTTGCTATTGCTGATCCTACACCCAACAGTAATCTCAATATCCATATGCACCAATGTGTTTTAAGATATCGACTGCTTACATAAGCACATAGGAAAATGTATAAAGTTGTCCCATAAAACGCCATTGCAGCGCCAATATCATGCACTAATTCAACGTTAACTTGCTGAAAATAAAAAGAGTGTAGTTGAACTGTTGGGAAACTGTATTGATTATTTAGTAATCATGTCATCAGACAAAAGTGTTAAATGTTAGTTAGTGAGTTTTATTTTGCATCACAAATACATGGCTGTTTCAGCACAGCCAAATGGATATCCGTTATGGTGCTATTGCATAGTCGTGTTATCCTTCCCAACCAACCAGCGGTCATTCGAAAGCAGAACAAAGTAAGTATGCACCCAGTGGTTTAGGAACCCAGGACCTCCTCATTACAAAGCGATAAATTGTGTTCGAAACATCATCAGTCAATATTACTGTGTAACACTGTGAGACTTTACAAAAATAAAAATTCTTCCATAATGGAATTACACTCTACCACAGTGCCCAAGTCCCATTCTTATTTCTTTGATACAAAACGCATACCACATGATTTTTCACTGCTATTCAATGCAATTTTCCAGCATATTCAACAGTGGGTTTCATTTTAAAGACATATGGAAACAGATAACATATTCTAACTGCAAGTTGAATTACTATTAAACTTTTACACTATGTCCTAGTAATTAATTTTTGTACCAAATTTCCCGTAGCTTTTAAAAAAAATTTCATTTAGGCCCAGTGTTTTGTTCACCTTTCTAAGTATCTTATGCAATTAAACACTCCTCTTTATTTTATTTTCATATCTGTGCTGTTGTACACTAGCGGTTATTCTCACTTCTAAACTTTTCCATCTTCCTAAGTTAAAAGCAATTCATCATTACATTACATTGTTGTTAAATCAAATAATCTACCTTGGATTACGACTGCCCACTCATTCTGTTCACTCACTTTAATTCATTATCATACATAAATATCAATAAGATATTTCTCAGCTTAAGTAGAAAAAAGAATCAAGGAAGATAAATTCATATCACTCTTCAGTTCTCATTTAAATTACCATTAGACTAAGTACATTTTGTGTTATTGTGTAAGTGAAAGATTGAACATAAAAAAGAGAAAATTGGTAGAAATTTATTAGTTAAACTTTACAGTTATTATCGAAATCATCAGGCATACGGTCGCGTAAATATGTAAGTTCACAAGTAATATTCATATATATGCAAGCTTACTTGGAAGTTGCCCACCATAGTTAATCCGATTCCAGCTATTAAAGATAGTATAGTCATAAATTTAAGTAAACATGTCGGTTGGTGTATGCCCATAAATTTTGTTCTATCCAACGCAATCAGATACCAAAAGAAGGCACACAATGAACCTGTAACACAAGGCATCAAAATGGAAAATTAAAAGTGAATGAACATTTTATTAGTTGATACATGATGTCATTGGTTTCCCAAGTTGAAGCTTCTGAAAGTCAGTTAATTTATTAGTATTAGATGATTGGATGCAATCGACAAGAAGCTCAGCCTTCGAACTAGGTTTCTTGCTAGTTGGCAAGGCGTATCTGCAACCTTGAAGGAACTCATGTCCATTCTGAGATTGTAACCCGCGTCACTCAGTACTGCAGTCATAGGTGTTACCACTGAGCTCGCGTTTGACTTCCTGTAGAACTCTAGTGGGAACTTTGATGGGACACTAGTAACTAGTGTAATGTGTCTAATCCTTGGTTTGGTGCAGACTGAATTCTATCAGCCACGTTGACAATGTGGCCACCATTCTAGATGGCTCGCCATCATGGTGCACTTTGAATAGTTGATATAAGATAGGCACATTACACCATTTACTAAGTCGTATCCAATACAGTCCTACAGGAGGTCAGTCGCGGGGAAGAGTAGCTCAGTGGTAACACCTCTGACTGCAGAACTCTTTGGGTGACGTGGGTTCGAATCTCAGAAGGGACATGAGTTCCTTCAACGTTGCAGAGACGCCTTGCTGACTGGTGAGTGCCAACTAGCACGAAAACTAGTTCGAAGGCTGAGCTTCCTAGCTGATTGCCTCCAAACATCTAGTATCAGCAATTCACAGTATACCATGATGGCCACATTGCAAACTTGACTGATAGAATTCAGTCTGCACCAAAGATAGGACTAGACACACATACACACACATTACACTAGTTACTGACTAGTGTCCAATCAAAAATAGTCAGTTTATTTAGATAGTCAAAAGAAATGTTAAAATCAGATTCATTGATTTAATTAGGCAATAAAAATAAACACTAGGCGAATATCTAAGACAGCTGTATTCAACGTTCCTCTCATCTAATCTATTGAGTCAAAAACGATTACCACCATTAGGAATACAACCCAAAATTTGAGTGGATTGATTCATTCCCGTGAGAATGAAGCCTGTGTATCTTGAAGCAAATACATATATAGTTAAATAAAATGGGTTTGTGTTTGATGATTGAGGTTAATTCACAAGTTATTTATTAACTATCTTGGTGTTACGCCATATTTGACATATGTTGAAAAGCTGACACCTTAGTACTAATAAAATTATACCTACAAGACTGTGTATTATTTTGTCCGCCTAACTACACTCTTGTAGTAACTTTTGTGTTAAACAGTCAGTGTGAACTGAAACAAACCGAACGATTATGCAGTTGTAAATTGCGACATGTCGTCTACGTTTATTCTGAACTTTTGAAAGAAAAGAGGAGTTATGTAGTTTAATTTATGTTCAGCAAATGCTGCATCCAGCATAAATAACAATATTCGGATTTTCAGCACTACTACCAATTCAGTTTTTCCTTATGGTCCAGAAACTTTGCGAGTCACCAGAAGCATTCAGAACAGACCTCAGACTTTTATCAACAACTGCCTTTGCTCTACACTGAAGGCCAGATTGCCGGCTGGAAATGATACGCAACAAGAAACTCTGGCAACGAACCGCCCAGGAATCTATTACCCAACAAATACACCGAAGAAAATGGAGATGGGTTGGATGTACTCTGTGGAGACTACTGAGTGACAATGTGTGGCAGACCGTCGAGTGGGATTCTTAAGGAAAAGACGAGTTGGCCGTCCAAGAGTGACAGGGAGGAGATTGTATGAGGATAAGATGAAAGCTTATGGGTAATCGTGGGGCAGACAGCAGAATGAAACTGATGTGTGTTGTTGAAGTCCTGTGTTTCACTTGGAACCCAAGGGAATAATAGTTATAATAACATAAATGCAAGGCGTCCACAATAAGTGTGTCTATATTCAATACTATAGCTAGCTAGCTAGCTAGGTGTAAATGAATACATCACTATGTTACTTGGAATTTATTCAAGTAAATACATTATCTCTTTTCGAGCTGATCACTTACTGTTATCAGTTAGAGAACCATTAAAAACGAGGGGGCGCTGGACAGTTGTTTCATCCTAGTTTGGGGACCATCAGCAGAACGCATCCACTGGGGTTCAAACCCAGTACCTTCCAGTTACACGGCAACTTCGCATACCATTCAGCCACTGGGCCCCGATTCAATGGCCCATAAGTTCTAACTTCTGACCTATTCAGGCAGTTACCTGGGCTTCGAAACCCAGTGGGTGCGTACTGCCGATGATTCCCAAACTAGGATGAAACAGCTATCCAGTACTCCCTGGTTTTCAATGGTTCTCTAACTGATAACAGTAAGTGATCAATTCCTAAAGACAAATGTAATTCTTACAAACCAACTATTGAAAGGACATTATCACCAAACTAATTATAACAATAATAATATTGCCACTGGTGTGGTAAATCTTAAAATGAATTTCACTGGCCGGACAAGAAAACACAAATTTGTTCTTCATTAAGTGCATCTAAAGAGACCCAAGTGTGTTATGAAATTATTAAGATACACAATATTAAAATTTAAAAAATACAGATTAACTGGTTAGGTAAAGTTATGCGTTTATTAAACAAAAAAGCGTTTGTCATCACTACATCATATGACTCAAACACGTTTCACATTTGTGCATCAGACATTTTGTGTCGATATATGTGGAACTAAAAGTAATTACTCTAAGTATTTTCGCAGGTAGGTAGGTAGGTAGGTAGGTTTGAGTGTGAGTATTAGGCAGAATACTTTTTACATGTATTCTTAATTCCTTTATACTATTTGCTTGCATAACAATTAAGTTTCAACTTGACAGCTATAAATTATGTCTAGCGAAAGTCAAGAGACGATAGGAATCCACACTAGTTTATGTGATTTTCAACAAAAATATGTCTACGTAGGCTGATAAATTACACAATATAACGTCATAGGAATTCAATAAAAGTATGTTTTATCTGTTAATTTAGAATGAGCTAGACGTTCTGTAAACTTATTATGACGAAATAATTGAAGCATTCAGATTAGTTTTGAGAATAATAGAAAAAAAATGCATGGCTCATCATTAGTATTTCGCGATATTGATTCAAACTGGTTAAAAAAACACTTCTCTTATCAGGTTTTTGTTTAAAGACGTCTCGAATATATATACCTTTAATGAATTATATCGATTGATATCGATTTACCATAAAAGTAAACACAGAGAAAGGGAATGATTTATTCATTGGTCAAAGGAATAAGATTCGAGCCTTGTAAACTCAAAATAAATTTTTTTATTGCTTAACGTACCCCATGGAACATAGGCTTGAGGCTTGAAGTTTCAGTTGCATTCGTGTATGCTTTTACGGGATGGGGTTGCTAGCCTCATGCCAAACCTTTCCTCTTTACCAGTCTTATTACTGGTTTAATGAGGTAAAGGAGTGCGTCAGCCGGGGATCGAACCCCGAACCACCTTCATGGCTGGCGAGCATTCTACCGCTGTGCCACAGACTCACCAAACTCAAAATAAATAGCATGTTTAATTTGACGCGGTAAATTTATCAGAGCTGCAAAGGTGAAAAGTTATCCGCATATAACGGTTTTGCATTTTCTTTGCTGATATTTTGGTGTATACATTGATAGAATTCTGTGCAGTATATACATATATATATATATATACATGAAAAATTACACTGGTAGTGAAAGACGATGAATATTAATGAGTTGAAACAACATTAATGAAGATTCATTTTTTCCAAATGTTTTAATTCAGTCAGTGAAAGCCGTAAATTGACGTCTCATGTTTCTTTTTACTCACATACCAAATAGATACGATACCAGGAGAAATCAGTTACCACAACTATGAGTGAATGGATCTGCGGCAGTCGGGACGATTTTCAGTTATAATACCAACAATCTCAAACCATTGGATCTTAGCATCTTGTGGCCCCTAAACTGTCAACCTAAACCTTTATGTATGGCTAAAAGAAACCATCAAAGACTTCATCTACTGATGCCACATTTTAGTTTGATCACCTCTAATTCTTTTCCAATCTGATCCTATATCAGCTAATATTGCCTCTCAAAGAAAGCGATCACTAGGCATGTGGAACACGCGTTGTAGCCACTTCAGTTGATTCCCCTTCACAGCTTCATAAGCGGACTTACCTTCCTCACGTAGCACTACGCCTAACCTTAATATTACTCACTCTATTGCACCATCTAACATGAGAGATACTGCAGAGACGTTTACGATCAAAGACAGCTAACCTTTTCATGTCTTTCACTTACACTGGTGGTCATGCCTCACGGCCACATAGGAGGGCGGAGCGGACTGCTGATCAGTACACACGTCCCTTGACCAATAGCCGAATATCATGTCTACGTCTAACTGAATAGGTTTAAGCCTGTTGTCGTGATTTGTTATAACACTCGAAACAATTCAATGCATATATATATATATACGCATATAACTTACTATAGTAATGAAAATAAGAAATAATGAAAGACATAACGAGCAGTTAAATCAGTCAAATGAGTCATCCTGATTTTATGTTTGTGAATATTTCTCCTAGTCTGTGGAATTAATGTGCAAATCAGGTGTAAGATTCTCCATTACAGAAATAAAGTAATATATCGATAGTCATTTAACGATGTCCTACTTTATACCTGAACAACTATGAACTGAAACATTTCACATTTCAGTCGCTTTTATCCTACATCTTCCTATAAATGTGGATAAATCTAGGTAAAGTGAAACAGATGTACCTTGTACAAAAGAAAAATGAAAAAATCAAAAACAGTAATGCAAAGGAAAATAAAGCATTTCTTTTCGTTCTTTGTTAATTTATATCAGGTAATGAGAAAAATCATCTTTCGCGACCCAAGAGAAGTAACTCTATTCTCTCAAAATTCCGCATACTTTTTTGAACCGACTATTTAAAATGTTCCTGTTATGTGCCTGAGTTACTGCAAATGAGCACCATTCATATTTATTTGATAATAAAGCCTTATGACGTTTACTATTATTATTATCATTATTATTATGCCCTGTATGTGTAACTTTCAGCACGGCCACATAAATAGCTGAAATTATAAACGTAAAGAATCAGCTTTTGGTAAATATCTTAACTGATGGACTATATGGGTTGTACTCCATCAGCTGTATTGAACTGAACTTTGAAAACACTTCCAAAAATTTTCGAAAGAATGGATACTGAACAAAGAGTACTCTTTTCGATAACTTCATCATCAGGCTCTACAGTTATATATACATTATAGTGAATGAATTAATTAGTGTTACGAACAACATTAATGTTTACGTAACATTCAACTAATAATATCAATAGATTACAGCTGAATAGCATCAACATAAAATAAGCCGAATGTCACAAAAATTAGGAAAGATAATATTACAAATTCATGAATTTATTGTCTCTACCGAAGACCAACCAGGACAGTAGTAGTGGCTGGACTTACTTCTTTTGAACACAGAGTACTGGTTGTTTGAGGCGAATTGCAATAGCCTCTGCTGTTTGGAGCATGCAGTGCTTCGATGATTTCGGCAATTTATTAGGCACCCGGTAGATTATAGAGAAGGATTCTTCCACGCTGGCTTTGTGGCCGGTTTGCACCAGATGGTCTAATATCGAACTGTTAATGGTTTTCACTACACCTTTACTTAGCTATAGTGGGAGATGTTCTCGAGCACGAAAATATTACCCACACCTTTCAATTTAGAATCCATTCTACATAATAACCATTATTTTTCATTCCTTGCCTTCTGAGTGGAGTATGGCACTTCGAGATTTCTGTTTTAATTTTCAGTAGCTCTGGTGTTGTTTTCACTGGGTGGTGCTACCAGCTTCACGCCCGATGTAACCTATTCTTCCGGATGTACTCTAGACTAATAAACTAGTTATAATAATAAAAGATTCCAGGGCTTTCTGAACTGCCACCTTATCATAACAGTACTAGTCTTCACTTCTGAACTTTACTAGGAGTTGTGTATCCATTTGTCAACAAGAACTTTACAAAACTCAGTTCCTGATCAGCCTAAGGTTCTATCAAATGAGGATGAAAAGTACCAAATATCAAGTAAAAAGGCAATAAAATATTGTAGAATCAATTAAATAAAAGCTGAATAAACTAAATCACTCTGTTTTGATTTTTAGATTTACACCTAGGTCGTACAATATAGTCCCTACGCGAAATGAAAATGAGATAAGAAAAATTCAAATACTCTTCAAAAGAAGTTAATATACGCATGAGTTATGATAAATTCTTCACTAGTTAATAAACTGGCACTTACTCAGAAAGGCAGCAAGGTTTAAACCCTCTGCAAATATACAGCTTTCTGGTGGATAAGCACCTGTAGAACTGATAGTAAAAATAAAAATAAAATTTTGGTTACAGAATTTGGTCAAAAGTATTGCTGTATATTGTTAATTGCGCTTTAGAAATATTTTAAATGATAAATCACCATTATAATTATTTTGAACTATTGACTGACTGACTTGGGATACCTGAGAACAGAAGAAGCATTAGTGTTGTGGGACAACAGAGCCCAAGAGACAACTGTTTGAGGCCTATCACACACGGTCTGTTTGAAGTGGTTTATGGAGTATTAGGTTTTTACTACCGGCTATGGACCACTACAACGTAAGTCAGGACGTACACTCCTTGTAGTCGATCTTTCCACCCTTCTCCCCTTATCCCTAGATCTGAGAGACAGAACAGCTGACCTGCTGATCATCAGAGGGAAATACTTCTGTTACATCCATATTCACCGGCAGTACAATTCCACCTGCAAACCCCCCAACATAGTGCAAACAACTTTCACTTCTATCCAAGTGACCTTTCTGGCATAGTAGCACTTAAAGGGACACTAGTTCCAAGCAGTGTAGCTTGTTGCGCCATTTCGATAGGTAATCCCAGTCACCACGCCAGCCTAACAGCTATAGACTGGCTTTTGAATCTTGACTACATTGAAATTGAAACAAAGAATTCTGCGAAGAATATTCTCTTTTCGAAGATTCCATTTTCACAGCTAACAATCGTATATATATACAAAAAACTGATTGTTATTGTATATTGACATTACAATTCTATGGAAGTAATTTATTTATACATGATAAACATAAATATCATTGAAAATCAAAGTCAGATTAACAAATTCCCTACCAGAACATGCAGAGAGAGATATTAACCGAATTTAAATATTCAAAATCTCATCAGTAAGATAGTGAGGGATGGAACTCTTCCTTTTCAGTCTATTGGATTTCTTAATGGCTTTACATATGTTACCACAATTAGTGGTGTTGAATAAATACTAAGTGGAATTTGAAAAGGCTTCATTTAAATAATTCATAAGATGCATAAATTCATAACACTTAACTCCATCAATATTCAACAGTAAATTTCTTATTAGCCACCATCATCAGGACGTGGAATATTAATTTCTTCTCTAAGAAACTACAAGAAATTTATGTTTTATTCAACTGAAAAGTCAAGATGGACTTATTGAAAATTCAATTTTAATGGTCTCCGTCTCAATGTGATCGACTAATACGTATAAAAATATAGTCTGAGGTTTTTCCATTTTCCTATGGGATAGTGGAACTATTATCTAATAGAATTTAGCACTTTATGCACGAAATATGGATAAATCCAGTCTTCTACTCACTATTTGTGATAAGTTTGAAAATATTTTTGAATGTAGTTTTACTTTTAAGTAAAATTGATTGTTGTTTGGCTCAAATCTTTGCTGATTTTCGGTGGTGAACGACGCAAGTTGTTGACTACGATGGACTAAAGTTTCATTGAAACTGATTCATCGAATTTCTGAGATAAAAATTTACTACACCGAACAAGGATAATTACTGTCTCATTTTCCCGGTTCTTATTTAATAGGTTATTATGAACATTTTTTATATTTTTTTATTCCTTCACGTTCCCAGTGGAACATAGAGCTTCAAGCTAGAGGCTTGATTTTTCTGTAGCAGTGGTGATTATTTTTACAGGATGGTGTTGCTATCCTCATGCCCAACCTTTCCTCTTCACCAGCTTTATTTCTGGCTTAGCGAGGTAAAGGAGTGCGTCGACCGGGGATCGAACCCCGGACCATTTACGCAGTCGCCAAGAGTCCTAACCACTGTGCCACCACCTCACACTATTATGAACATAAAAGGATAAAAGTCTAACAACGAGTAATATATATATATATATATAATTCGGCCTCTTTCTATATTTGCCCACATCATCCTCGAAAGACGGATATTCACCACCGACATTTATTAACAGAAATAAAACTGGATTGTCGATTAAGAGTAGAATTTTGAATTCCCATGAATTCTTCTTTTTTTCCAATGTGTATTTCTGTGGCCATTATAACATGAAAATTTTACGAGTTGTTGTTTCTGTTAGCGGATTTGTCTTAGTCGTGCTGAACTATATTGTTAGTGCTACATGAGAAAGCGAAACGACATCATTATGCGTCTCCTGTTTCTTCCTATTTAATCCGTTTACCTTGAAGTTAGTTAATGTTTGTAGAACATGGATGGATGAAATTCCTTCTAGAAGTTTCCGAAAGAAAACACTGTCCAGTTATTGGTTAGTATTTGGTTTGAAATAAGTATTTTGGGATCACTTTAATTCGATCTGTTGACTCTACTTCACTAAACAGAAATACTTTACGAAATATGTCTTCATTTCATTATAATAAAGGTTTTTGTATTTCCCAATGAATGAAAAACAAAACGATATTGTTTTTACTGACGCTTCGCTATTTAATGCTAATAGCTTTATTTATGCTTTTTGCTGATGCTATATGGCTTGTTTACGTTCGAATGATTTGCCTTCGGACTAACCAATTGACACTAAGTTTGAGATGGATATGTTCCAACTGATTTCGATCAAACTAACTATTGATATCTAATCTACAACAACTAGAGATTATTTAGTCTTTTGGCTGAGTATAAGACTTTTAAAAGTTTGACACTTAAAAAGCCTGCATGAGTGTTATACATGGAACAGCTTCGGACGAATATATAGCGAGAATCGATCAAATAATAGGTGTAAGTGTGTGTAATCATTCAGAATTATACCAAGATGTATTTTTCAATAAAGATATAGAAACTTTAACTAAATAAATAACGACATTATATCACTAATCATCCTTAATATTCAGATCCCTTATTAAAAATTATTCTTCACTAATTCAGTAAATAATCGATATAAGTATAAAACTTGGGCACTGTGGTAGAGTATAACTCCATTATGGATAAGATTTTATTTTGATAAATCACACAGTGTTATACAGTAATATTAATTGATGACGCTTCGACCACAAGTTGATATGATTATGAGCAATAGTTTGTGCTCAAAACGTCATCAATTAATATTACTGTATAGCACTGAGTGATTTATCAAAATAAAATCTCATTTTTTATTTTATTTTATTTTTTTTTAAATTTTTGATTTAAGCTTGATGCCACACTGTATTTTCAGTACAAGTATGGAATTTTCATGGATATCGGTAGCCTAAATTTTGCAGGCCGGGGGATCGAACCCCGGACCATCTGCATGGTCAGCGAGAGTCCTAACCACTGTGCCACCGACGCACAATAATCCACTATGATTCTGAATCTTGAGGTGAATATAATCTTGCTGTAGTGCTCCTCTGGTTATCTGTAACATTTCCGACTTGCTTTGCATACTTTATATAAAATCAGCACGAAGAAGATAGTTCAGATTGATACTGCTTAGCTAAGAGATCTACGATGCTGGTTAGAATCTATCTATTCTTCAGAATGGTATCAGTTTGACTAAAGCAGTCTGATGAGTAGACAAACTTTTAATCACTAACTTTTACTGATGTTAGAAGAGTTGTCAGGGTTTAACTTGTTGTTTGTGGAATATCTAAAACAACTCGCTCTACAGTTATTCAAAATTAATATCACCTCTGAATAAAGTTTAACCATACACAGCAACTTGGTATAGCTTTACTAATTCCATTAACAACGAATAATTGTTTTAGTTTATAGTAGAAAATTAAGAAAATTTATTGAGAAGTCACTTTGGAAAAGCTTTTGAATGCCACTTGAATTCAAACTGATTAAATGTACACCATGCATATGTATTTCTGTACTGTGTCTGTAATTCTCGCACTTCATATTCTTCTTGAACAACAAATGGTATGAGTAAATCAGTTATTTTTACTCAGTTTTGAGATAAGTCCTACTTCGTGGAAAAAAGACTATTAGTTCTCTTGCTGATTGGAGTTTTAATAGGCAATCTAATTAACCCTCACCACTAGTAATAGTTCTTCTACTTCTGAGATATTATGACATTTCTGCTTTAAGTCAATGTATGATTTACTGACACTGTTTTGAACAACCTTCATCATTCAAGTCAGGTTAATACCTCAGATTACTGATGTTTATTGGACTCATATGTGCTGACTAGTAATACAAATAGAGGCAATACAAAAATGTTTTGAGATTAAGTAAAATAGTATTTCAAATATGCAATCGCCCTGGAACAAGCTAAAATTATAAACACTACCCCGTTCCTTTATTCTTCTTTTTGCTTTATGCCATTTCCTTTCAACCGTTTCCTTTAAATTTTCTGTATCAACAGTCTGCATTCTATGAAGTGCTTTAAGTCATAGTCACTTTCACATTGTCCTATCATTCAAAATGATGAGGTGATGAAAGGTTAATTCCTGAAATATTCGCCGATATAGCCTAAATGGTAAATAGTTACCTAACAGAGAAATTTATCTCAGAATGCAGCTGTATTGCGTGATTAGTGAATATGTTTCCAGTTGGATTTGTTGACTTTTTTATCTTTTTTTACACAAATATTGAAAGAAAAACACTCAGTTATCTCTGATATATTCTAACTTCTAGGAAAATGCGTTTGAAGATAAATGTCGTATAATATTAGAGTTTATGCACAAGGTCACATCTGAATAATTAGGAAAACCAACACACACACACACACATACATACACCTACCTGATGAATGGTAACTCCGCATTCACATGTCCTCTATATACCGAAATATAATATCTAAATTAAAAGGAGAGTAAGATTCTGTCAGATATAACTGAAGATTGATGCAGTTCAATGCTGAAATCTAAAAATCCAATTTATCGAAGCAGGACACAAGTTCATTTTGTTTCTGTAGGCATTTCATCACTATAAACTCAGAACGTCAAGAACTATGTGAAAAATAGCTTAGACATCTTTCCATGAAATGCACTATCCACAGATGTGTACTTAATAAATTTTTAAGATAACTGCTGATGTAAATGTCTTTTTTGCGGTTTTTTGTCTGGAAACAAAAGAATGCCTTTACTTACTGTACCTGATAGATTTTAAATTGTCTGTCATTACAAAATCTTCTAGCAATTATCCTATGTAGCCTATCATGTAGGCTTGAAGCTCATGTTATTGATCATGTAGAGCAGAGTCAAAGTCTACACTCTCATCTTAATGAAAATGATTATTCAGCGACAAACCACTGAAGTATACAAATACTCATGCAATGCATTACTGCATAGAAATACAGAATATTAAGATGTTAAATTTTGCAAACGTTTGATAGAGAGTGACATTTATTTTGTGACAAACAGTTATCTACTAGGAAACAACTAAATATAGAGAAAATTTCTGTTTCACAGTAATACATACATAATTCTGCATGATAAACTGGATACCACATTATCAGATTAACAATTCAGCGCGCAGAATCAAATTATTCATTTGCAAATTAAACAGTTTGAGGTGGTAACTGACTAGTTGTAATATCTTAGGATTCCAGAAGATAAATGTGATAAATTCTCATGTAGAACTGTGTAGGTTACAAATAACGAATTCGCACAAATGGCTAGCTAGAACTCGGAAGGTGTGAAGTGATTCTGCCTTCTGATTAGAATCAGCCATGATACGTTGCGGATGAGTTAGGTCTAAAATGAGCTAAACAGACATCCAGTGTTTAAATCAGTTCAATCTAGCAAGCATACACTACCGTTTAACATGAGTGATTTTCAACCCGTCAAGAAAGTATTTTTCCATGATGTCACTATCTAACCTACAGTTTGAAATTCAGCGTCACATGAATTTCAACCTCTTCCAATTAGCTTTCATAGACCACTTCCATTCAACAGTATCTAACTACTCAGAGTTTTAATAAAGAAAGACTTTAGTTGATGTATTTGGATAACGCATGTTTTGCGCTATTCTTGTTTTCAACGTAAATCGCTTTCTGATAGAGGTGACTGACTTCAATCTCATACTAAAGTTAGTTGTTTCATTAATTTCAATTTATGAACGTTATCGATAAATTTTGGTTTTTTAGAATCCATGCTGAGTCCATCAAAATGATGGCGACTGCTGTGACTACTCCATAGCTAACTGCATTTCACATAATTTACAAGAATTCCTAGTGCAAACCGATAACACATTATATTAATTACATACTTGTAAACAACTTTTCACATAAAATATTCATATGGTAGTGAATTGTGTTCTCAAAATTATTCCTTGCTCTAAGCCAAACAGGTTTAAACAAGGAATACCCTATTCAACGCTTAGTTTCTCGCTCAGTGATTTCAGCTCGTTACGAAACCTGTCCTCTTATATGGAAAAATTTGATTTGTTTCATGGATAGTTAACTGTCTATCTTCTGTTAATAAAGAGAAAGAATTAAGACTGACAACAAACAATTCAAGTTTCTAAATCATAAAGTTAAGAAATGCATGTTACCGACAGTTTATTTAGATATCACTAAAACTTCTATTGGAAATTGATTTCAACACTGACATACTTGAGGTGACATGAAAACACCACTTGTAGTGCTAAATTTTGTAATCAGTATTTTCACTACCTTTAGAAAAATTCGATTGCTCAGTTATAATAACCTACATTTTTTGGCAAATGCATAAATGAATGTGGTTCGGTGCTGTTGTCAAAGAATAACTTTCTCCAAGTATGCAAATTGGTCATCTGATAATTGTAAATAAACATTATACGAATACTCAAAGACAGCTGACTATTACCTTTATAGCTAATAATAATAAATACGAAATTCTTAGAAATAAACTACCCTTAATTCGATAAACGGACTGTCTTGATAAGAAGACGAAATTTCATAGAGATTTTGGTGTAAACAATGACTGAATAGAATCAATGTCTTATTCACTATGTAAAGCGGTATGATTTCTCATTATTATAGTTAATGAGTGTAGTTTTATCTTTCTTTATGCGAGAATCGACATAAAAGTAAAGTAACTTAAGCACTAAACAAAATCTGACTTATTTCAGCAAATTATCTCTGAGTTTTAGCCCTTTATTGAATTTCTTCAAAAATACACTAAACAAAGAACTCATAAGTAAAATAATATTTCGGTCTTGGACAAATTATTCATTCAAGTTATGATAAGTAATTCACTCATATCAATCCGGAAAAGTAGAAAATTGTTTTTACCTTCACTGGTTCGTCAGTAACTTGCTTAAAAACTTTCAAAGATCTCGGGAATGATGTAATTAAAATGACCATATTGACAAATATCTATTTTACGATTTAACTTACGTTAGCAAAAATGTGGTGCTCATAATTAAGGCCAGCAAAAGTGCCACCCACTCCAAGCCAATTCGGTAGCATAGAATAGTCATCCTGTTGACCACTTCAGTATTCTAGATTTCGTACTGAAAATGAACATAACATTGCTGTTATACTGCATTCACTATGATCGACGTAGAATTAGTGCCTTAGTAAATGGGATCCACTACAAAACTTTTATTGACTATGTCTGATTACTCTAAGATTCTACTTAGTTTAAACAAGCTATATATTGTCATCGTACGAGTTTAAATATATTCTATTTGTTAAGATTTTAGAATGTATTATGTTTGAATCATCCCTGTAGATGAGAAGGTGAGACATTTGGAGGATTAGGGATTTCAAAACCATGAACTGAACTTGTTTTCTGACAGCAGGGTAATAGACGACTCTGATTCACTTGATTGATCCCCACAGGCAAGTGCATAACATGCTATACTGTTTAATGTTGGCCTGAGTAATGACTCAAACACTGAAGTCTCTTCTGTACATTAATGAAATACAGTATTCCTTGGAAACTATTTATTTGGAAATTATGGGTGAATTCTTGACTTCTAGTATTTGCATTGTCATAAACTTTGTACCACTTCAAGAAAATCTTGATGAATGTTTCTGGAATAAATCTGGTAACATGAATCGCATAGCATTCCACTCAATTTTGATTTTCACTCACTAATTTGAACTCACTGTTAAGGCTCCAAATCTACTAAATTAAACTATTTTTTCTATTTCATAGTCTTACTGTACTGTGCACACCAACCTTCCTAAACTCTCCACCATAATATGTATAAATTAAATCTGTTGTTCTATCTTGTATTCTGTCCTTAGTCCATCCTTGTTTCCAAGCGAAATCCAATTTCCACCTTTTTGTCTAATTCCTAAATAAATAGTTACTCTTTTAACACTAAATAAGTGTCTACTTACATCATCTTTGAAGTTATGTTGCTTATGCTTTCCATCTATAACTTGAAGTCATTGTAAAAAGTATGTTCAAAAAATTTTGTGACATATAACTGATTTATTTGGGATGTATGCAGTTGAAAAGAATAGACATAATAAAACGAGTTCGTATTATCCTGCAAATATGTTCGTTATTTCTTTATTCAAACTAAGGGAATCGGCTGTATGAAAATCTCACTAAATTTAAGATTTCTCATGCAATTTAACTCTCCACTATCTTTATAATGATTTTCTATCACAGCAACACAATGTCACACATAACCGCTTTGAGTGTAAGCATTTCAGCGCATTTTATTATTTCAAAATATAAAAAGGTGGTTACAAGAGACGTTAACTTATTTCACTGATCGAAAATGAGAAGTGTGATTAAAAGAACACAACTGTTAAACCGTGTAATTTTTGCATATTGTGGACTGTTTAATCTAAACATTTTATACGGTAACTGTTAAATGAATGTCCCACCAACGACAATGGTTGGTGTCGCGCTAAATCACGAATTGGTAGAAGTTAGAATTCATGAGCCATTGAATCTGGTCGCAGTGGCTGAATGGTATACGAGCTTGCCTTGTAACCGGAAGGTCCTGGGTTCGAATCCCAGTGGGTGCGCACTGCCGATGATTCCCAAACCAGGATAAAATAGCTGTCCAGTACTCCCTGATTTGTTTTCAATGGTTCTCTAACTTATATCAATCCGTGATCAACTCGTAAAAACATAACTAACCCTTACAAACCAAACTATAGAAAATAAACAGTGTTGAAGAAATGAACAAATAAGACTCTTTTAGGATGTAATTTCGAATTTCAAATTTTTAACTGTAACTCTAAGATGGGACTGCTTTGAAAGCGAAAAAGTAGAAGAAATATGAAGAACTTAGAGTCGTCAGACTAATAAATGCATTTCTCCTGATCTTGCATCAATTTTTAAATAAATGCAACACTTCTAAGAAAATGTATTTAGTTCCTTAATAAATAGGTATATTCTGTTTTCGAAAATATACTTTCATGAGTTTGCAGAGGCTGAAAATAGTAATGTTTTGTGGTTAAAACCACGTCTTAAACCAAAAATAAATCTGCAGAATAAATTCAGAACCATTTTAATTGGATGTAAAACAAAAACATTACGATGACTGAAACGATGAACAAACCATTGTTGCTAATCTCCATCATGTATCCGTGTTAGCTATCGTTGACGGAAAGAATTACTAGCTGACATCATCAACTCAATCATTAAAGAAGGCTGTGGAATGTCCTCCAAACGGCCCTTTCGTGAGTGTAATGTATTTTCCGAGGTGCTACTAGTAGAATAGTGAAATGCTGAAGAAAAGAGTATCTTCAAAGATAAGAGCACTATAGCACTATAACACTATAGCACAATGATTAATGGCGAAGAAAGGAAGAAAATGAAATTTTAGCTACATTCATCAACTATTTAGGCAAGGATTGCCTCACGTCCTCATTTTATACAGTTCTAATGTAGATGCATTTATAAGCGAAAACTTGAATGATTACTATGTTTTGAAGACTAACCAGACAACAATAAAAAGTGTGTCTGGTCTGAACGAGAGTATAAAATGTCCAGTAAACTACAAATAGTGGATGAGCCATGTCATTAACAATCTCCAGCTATTAGTCCTTAGCGTATCAAAAGCCCCTTTCAGGTAGAATACTCTTCCTCACGTGACTGAAGCCAACAGCCGGAGACGTCATGGATTAATGTTATTTACTGGTTTGACCACTTCTAACCATTTTCCAAATCAATGCTTTTTCAACTAACATGAATTTATGTGTAAAGGAATTACTTGTCTCACGTAGCACGTGACCTAGCTGCTGGCTGGCTGGCTGGATTCAACATAGAACTTGGCACCGAAGTGTAGCAGTTCGAGTTGCCACGTTCCAAATAGCAAACGAAGGTAGACAAGAAAATGAGTGAAGAGAATCAACAGAGTTTTGACAAGTATAAGAGTGAATCAGAATGAGTGTCCCAGCCATCTCAAGCAATGTAGCATCCCAATAATAGATTGATTAAGTTCAGACTGGGAAAGGCAGAGATAGCCGGATAAAATATGGTGTCAATCCGTGAATATTTTGACTGATAGTTTTGTGCACAGTACCTCGCCTTGGTCGTCAGGACGTCAAATATCAATGACTAAAGACTGCTGGTGATATGGGCAAAATTTACTTGCAAGAGAGTGAATACATTCACTAATTAAGATTGTTACACACTTTGAAAATCTTCACGAATCACTATTCAGTAGTTGTCTTTTCAGTACATTTGTGTACTCTGGAACAGTATGATTGTACCACTTTTGTTAGATGTTAAAAACGGTAACACTGTACATAACTTTTGTTTAAAACGATTCATTGTAAAATATACATAACTTCGGAATCCAAACTAAAATACTGTGTGCTGCTCGACGCTTCGTCTTCACACTGGTCCATACTGTCTACCTACGGCACTACTAACCATGTTGCGTCCTTCGGATTTTCGCAGGAACCTCTCATCCTCATTCGAGGGCTATTCTACAACCGATGCACAGCTTCTACGAGTAGGCACGAGTCCAGCAGTAAACGCTTCTGTGGACTTTAATAATAATTTGTAGCAGAGGACTTCAACTGCATCGCTTAGTAACCATTAATTAATATAACTCGTTAACTATATTTTTTGCAATATACTGTTACAATATTATTTCATTAATTTTGTATTTTTATTCCGTCCTTATCCCACAAGCTTTATTGTTTTTGTTCTTCTTACATTTACAATCCTCTCCATTTTTGTTTATTTTCTTATGAGTGTGAACATCATTTAAGCTGTGTAATAACTGTTATTTTTTGTCTTTCCGCTCACCATGCTTTATAAACAGAACATTAGATTCAACAATATATAAGATGCTAAAATTTCCAAACTGAATCGACAATGCAGTTTGAAACAAACCCACTGTTATTATTATGGTTATTACTCTCATTTTGTACTTCGAATATTTTTTTGTTTTTAAGTGGTAATTGTGGAGAAATACCTCTAGTTAATTTTGTTTTTATTTTATTTATATTTTCAGTACATCAGATGTAATATTGTGATAAATGCTGAAAATTCCGTTCTGTATTATAAGTACTGTCTTTGGAATAAAGTAGGTTATTATTATATTTGTTAAGTCACCGAACTCGCTTTTAAGTCCCCTATGCATTCACAACTTCACTTACTCGTACCCATCTCAGTTATACATTTTAATGAACTCCGTAAATTATATGGTGACAGTGATATTCATATAAGTATGAATTCTTTAAGAAAGTTTTCAAAACTACTAGTTCTAGTTGCAGTAAGATAAACAAACATTTCAAAAACTCATTCCAAAACAGGTAAATGTACATATCTAACTATCAGAGTTCGTTGGCTTATATCGAATGTTGCTATGTTAACTCCCGTATTTTTAGAGTATGTTACAGTAGGTAGCTCTTCTCTACTTTCTCGTTAGTTAGTAAACTGAACTTCATATAACGATAGTTTTGCTTGCGGGAAAGTTGGACATGCTTCGCTTTCGCCCACTATTCATTGGAGCAGAGTGGATGCCATTGCTATTCATGACAATACATACATTTCTTCTTTGTTGTTAATATGATAGTTCTAATTAGTGGCCTAGATTTTTCACTGAACTCGTAGTCAATGCCCAGCTTCTGTTTATCTGCCTTGAGTGTCAGCTTGATTGATGAACTGTTACACAGGCCCACTATATCAAAACTGAGCAATTATTTTCTCATTTCTTAGTTGGACAACATTCAGCCATTTATTCAAATGAAACAGGAGAAATAATTAGTGTGATTTTAAGACAGGGACTAAATTCTATCCCCATAAAATGCATTATGGAACCTGACTTTTAATATTCAAAAAGGCTAAAGACATGCCTCATACAATCCTCAACATTTTGCCAGTGATTATACTACATTCCATACTACACACCAATTTACTAGTGTGTAGACGATGTGCGGTGGCACCATGCACATGACAGCAGGAAAACTAATACCGAAATGGCTTGAAAAACAATTTAAATTCGTGACCGTGATAAACGTAGGTGGCAGACTGACATCAAAACACAACTGA